TTTGGAAAAATGCGCTAAAATATTGCAGACGTTAAAAGCAAAAGTACGTACTAGAATTTCATATACAACTCCCCGTTTAGAAATGTCGTTTAAAGGGGCTAATTAAACACCATATGGACAGCTGCCGATCGAGTACGATTTTTTTAAGAAATGGACCAGACCAAAATCAGCATGAATCGTCGACAAATTGAGCAATTTGTACTTCCACTTGTGACAATGGCCATATTTCATTTCCTTTTTAAAAATTTGTAAGTTCTTATTTGTGAAAGGTTTTTTGGAAATTGCCATAGTAGACTCGGGAATAGGTATCTCAAAAATTGCCAGAAAAGGAAGCGCAAAGTTCCAAGATGGGTAAGATGTCATGACCGTTATGGTCATGCCGAAAGACTTTAATCTACTTAGCTGCCAATTTTGTTATAGAGGAGCGGCAACATCGATTTACCAATTGGCCAATAACTATGTCTTGTATAATTAGTATTTATTTATTATAGAATAGATAATCTCACATTTTTGTTTCATTGTCTCACCAGAATCTGTTGTTTTTATAAATTATCTCGTAAATGGCCTGAGAAGCATTAGAATAATACCTATAAGTAAATGATAAAGTAGCCGCTTACAATCCTCGCGCTACTTAATAAAGGCAATTTGGAAACGTGGTGTACAGACTAAAGAAACGCCAATGAAATGAAAGAGAAATGTGTGAAAGTATCAAAATGTCGTCAAATGTCATAGGAAATATCTCGAGAAATATGATGAGCATGCAGATATGTTGATGACCTTCAAGAAATGTGGGAATTGTTGCACAAATGCAATTATTTTAAAAGTATATACCTACATCAGCCGATTTTAACATTGGAAATGTTTATGTCTTTAGCGTAACACAACGAAGTTGACGTAAGCTTATGTGCTATATTTTCCGTCGTCTGTCTGTCTGTCTGTCTGTTCCATAGAGATCTCGGTCCCTGAGCCACCTAGAGACTTCGAGTTTTCGCTAATTGACTGCCCGTTACTCATTATTTCAGTTGTTTTACGCGGTACAAGGTTTTAAACCATTTTTTTTCGTATATGGGTACAAAGTTAGGCAATTCGTTCAAGGCCAAAAGACAACGGTGTCGCATCAAGAGACGATTGTACGTACGTGCACGTTACGGCGCTTATTATTCAGAAGGGTGACGAGTGATCCGAATGAATAAAAGTTATTTGTGTTTTGCATATGGCGTTATACGAATGCAGGTGTTAACAATCTCTCCCACAGGAAAAAGAGGAGTACACAAAGCTCGAAAGTACATGAGACATGTGTGGAAAGATCCAAAACGTGAATAATACTCACTCATGGGCGAGATGGTGGGCGCTGTATTATTCACGTTTTGGACCCTCCGTGGTGGGTGAGATGGTGAGTTGAAAAGTTTTTTTCTTCTTTGATTTGAAGAAAATATTTTATTTATGAATGTAGTTTATGTTTCTTATATATTTTATGGCAGAATACAAATCGAGATAGAAATTGCGTTTCAAGTAAATAGATTCCAACAAACTTTGATACGTCTTTCAAATTTTGTTCATCGTCTAACCCGGGTTTAGTTTGTAACAACCACAGACCTTTGTGGTAACACATGCATCTACGCGTTACATGTTCAAGGTAAGCATTCTTTAGGGCGCCTGTTTCTATTTACGGTTATCAGCCCGACAGGCATTTTACAAAGAACCCCAGAATTTTGTTGAAAAGTACCCAACCTGAACTATTGCACTTTAACATAAGTTTTGTATATTGCAAAAATTCGTCTGTATTTTGGTATAAACTTTAATTTTTATACTAAAAAGGATTTTTGTAAGATTAATCAAATCCACCCCCATTTTAACCGGGGGCCTCGCCGCGGACACTGTTCTCGACAAGATTCTCAATATGTTCATACCACACCATATATATTTGTCGAGATATTTGTGGAGTCGACCAGCTCTGCTGAACACCCGGTATCTAGAAGCGTTTTGAGTAGTTACGAAGATTGCCGCTCACTCATGGAGTCATTCATTCAACATAACAATAGAGGTGTTAATTGGTTGCAGTAAACGTCATTCCACATAGTCGTGTGGGGTATCACAAGCAGCGCTCTTAATTGATTTGAATTTTGGGACCAATTACAGATTTTTAGGACGTCAGCAGGCCGCCCAATTAATAAAGAAGTTGTAATTTTTTGACAGTATTAACCGAATACACCGGTCAGCTCGGAATTTCCTACGTTCCCTCCCCAGATGCTGGGAAAGTTATATAAAGTAAGCCCTGACTGTAGAGGGGATCTTTTGCATTCTTTTGCCTCGTCTTTTGCCTTTGGTGTTTTTAACCGTATATTTAAATCTTTCTACCCTTTGCACCACTTACGTTTTGTAAGTACCGAAGTCCATATCGTCTAACTTTTTACCTCGCTTTTTACATTAAGTTTACCGCACCGTATCTATAGCGTTTGCCTTTTCTTGCACAGTAATTTGGTTGCTATTTTCCGTTTCATTCATTATAAGGCGGAGGGGGGTGATATCACTATCCTGCATTTGATTTCCCGTAGAAACCGTTAACAAATCCGATAATTTCCTGTTCCTGCTCAGGAAATTCGCTGTGCGCTTTAAGTTCGTTTTAGCATTTAACATCCCCCTGCTTGTCCTTTAGAATTCCTGCGACCGCCGTTCTGCATTCGAGTTACCTGGATCGTACGATCGCAGACCGGATCTTGGCCAAAACCAAGAGAGACCGAAAACTGGTACCGCTTGAAGTACTCCCGCTGCCTATCGCCGCCGTCACCGTCTACAGATTTTGACTTATAAATTTCCGCTGGATTTTCCTTTTTCTTACCTTCATTGAATTTCATTTTTGTATAATTATATTATATGTACTTTTTTTGTGTAAAGGAGAACAGAAGCCAATACTGGTTAAACTTTTAGATTAAGAGTCTTGTCTGGAATAGTACGGACACACGGTAGCACGGTAGTGTTTTGATTTAATCAAAATGTTTGCTATTTTCTATAAAGAATGAAATTAGGTTATTTTATTAGAATAGGCTTCATGTAAGAAATAGCCATACACTCGGCCATACAGTTAACATTTGCAGAAGGCAGTCGAGATATACCTATAGTATTGGTGACTCGGATGATTTGAATACAATTACATTTTAGGTGATAACCACAATTTTAGTTGTGAGTTTTCCCATTGTTTTTAACATTAGGGTTTTTGTTGTTAATCAGCTAATTTTTAAAATTGAGTACGATCACGACACAAGCATTTTCGGCGTTTGAGGGTGCCCATTTTCTTGTGTTTCCTTTTTGCGTACATATTTATTTACCAATAGTAATCGACAAATCAGATAGCACGCTATTCTTATTCGTATTAATTGGTGCCATAATTAGTCACCATCTTATCAACTTATGACGAAGTTTGAATCGCTCATTCTTTGTTCTATTACACACGTATTGACAAGTAAAACTGATACGAATTGTTCTTATCGTCAACAATGAAGTGGTTTCAAAAGAAAATATTTGTGGATTTTATGCTTTATGAACACCAACACGTTGAGATGCCAAGAATAAAGTTCATTCAGATGATTCACTCATTAAACCTTTTGTTATTTATGTTATTGCCAAGTAGGTAATTAACACCAAAATTATCACATGCTTAAACGAGGAGTGTTTACATTTCCATGACCAATGCAGCCCCTTACAACTAAAATTCACGCCACGTATTTTACAGAAATTTAAATTTTTTAGTACCCACATCTTTTTGCGAATCGCCGGATAATTAAAATTGTGCGACTTACCTTTAAATTTTGAACTACACCGTGTAAAATTTTGTTGGTCAGGTATGTGACTCAATTAATTACTCAGAATGTTTAGATACGTTATCGGGGATGATGCATTATACCTACGGATAAAATGTAATCGTAGGTATTTATTTTCCATATCTCTGTTGTATGCGTGCACGAATTTAAAGCCCGTACGTATTTAAGTTTTAATTTATTAAAACAGTGAGAGCTTATACTTACATTCAAAAGTGTATAGACCGTGTTACTGTGGGTGCACCCACATCAACGTTTATGTTTTTATTATACAGAACATAAGCAAACCATATAGGGAACTGCATATGACAGATCAATTTGTTTACAAACTGATACGGAAATTCCTGTGTTAAACATAAAAAATGTTGCTACAAGCTTCAATGCGTAAAACAGCCGACTATTGGAAGAATCAATAACAAAGTGAAGATAAAATTCTTCGTGCTTAGGTATTTCGGTTAATTAATAACTATTAATGTCGTGTATTTATTGTTAGGTATAGGTAGGTACCTATAACCTATAACAAAACCGGTTACATAAGTTGCTATAATACCGTTACATGCTTGTACAACTCTCCTGTTTTCAATAAGTGAAATTTACACCTGTCTAATATTTTATATACGAGATAATTAGACGATTAAAATGCGCTCATTTCGTAAAATAAAGCTAATTTCATAACCAAATTAGGCGGTTATCGGCTGGCGATTCCTTTTTAAATTAACATAAGAGCTTAATTATAGCAATCAGAGGTTTTTATACCTTTCAATGATTCATAAATACGTCGAAGATATGAATTAATTTACTTCTCCATATAAAATGTGGTAGTAAACACAAAAGCGAGTGGGTAGGTTAACTGTCGCGTTCATAGAGGGTGTTTGGTGTTCGCGTTTGAATGGAAATTAGTGCTGAGACGTTATTTTCGAAAGCGAATCGGTTGGACGGCAAATTTGGACATATAAAAGTTGAAGTTTTTCAAAAATGAAAGAAAAATTACACATCTGTCAACAGATGATTAATGACGGAAAGCTCTGAAAAGTTACAAGAAACTTCGATTTAGATAAGAAAATCTTTAAAAGTTCCGACCTCATGGTATTTGTAACAAATTTGCAGTTAACAACCTATGTAAATTACCCAAAACTTCCGCTAATGGATCACGGAAACTAATCATTTGGCCCCCTAATAACGCACCTGATAACGTATATTCCCTTTTATATCCTAAGCTGGTGCATGTAATTAAGAAACACTAATCCACAAAATCATCGCACACCACAAAACAAGACACATCCACACACAGCACAGATAAATCCAGGGTGTTTCATAGAAGCGCTTCCTCAGACAGATACAGAGCGTACGAAGAAGAGTAGCGCATATTATCACGTTAGCGCCCGAAAATATACTGACTGCCTACCGATGTAAACATAATCCAAAGCTAAGCTTATTTTAGACAGCTGCATACCATCCTGCAGACAGTCCCCCTTCGACATTTCCATCCAATGAAAGAAGCATTTGGAGGGGTCCCCTATGTACGAGAGTGGGGGTGAACATAATAATTAGTCTTTAATTTCCAGTTAGCCATGTTTATTATTTAGGTTGGGTTAAAACACGTGATTCACCGGCTAGTAAAGTAAGCTAAATTACCTCCCTAATAGGACGTAAATAAAAAATGCAGAAAGAGAAATCGGTTTTACTTTTTATTAAGACGAGTTCTCAGGTATAAGGGAATAAAGCTACCTAAAAGATGTTTATAGGCCCTTTATATTCGAATGGATCCTCGCGATAATAGGATATATATGTACATATACCTACGTTTATATATTTGTCAGTAAATAAATCTAGAAGAGGATCGCAGTGGAAACGTGGGTATTAGCGAAAAGGGTGGCTGATATCGAATGAAAACCTCTCAAGAAGTTATAATAGGATGAACTGATGGCACAAAAAGTCGCCGATTTTTGAATAGAGAGGGTTATATTGAAAAGGAAGGCAGCTGATAAATGTTTCCGCGAGTGGTGCAAGTATTACCAGGCTAATTCCTTCGAGATCGATAATAATAATGACTTCTCGAAAAACTAATAGTCTAAATCTGTAATTGCGATACTTACGCATGATGTTTCTCCCTTATTGCGCTGTCAACCCTGAACTGAACTGAGTTTAAGCTGGCGTACGAAACTTTTAAATTCGTTAATGTCAATAAAAGTAGTGAGCGTGTTCTCCGAGGAATCGATTACTGCACTAAATGCATATGAGCAATAAAATGGAAAACTGTCATTTTATGATGTTGCAAGCATCTATAAACACTCGTGCCGTAAATAAAACGAACCCTAATGTTTTTGCATATTCAAAAGTTGGGAATAAACCTAATTCCAAAAATGGACATGATTCGCTAAAAAATAAGTGTCTCTACAGTACGTGACAATTTAAAATTGAGTTCATATTGATACAAATATTTATCGAAGTTTAGACGCTTGCGAACTAAAATCACACGAAATTCAAAATTGCTTTCTTGACACAGTTCACATTTCAAAATTAAAAAATTTTTCCGCATCCTTTAAAGCGACGCCTATAAAATTATGAAACGTAGGTAGGTATTAAACACCTCACTATAATACTAAAAAATAGAATACTAGAATATTTCGTCTGTGTCTAGAAGCAATCTAACTTTTCCCATTCGAAAAATGTTATGAACGGATAAACACTGGGTTCACAAAAAAGCTCATTAACTGCACATTATCTTCATTTTGTTCTTTGGGTATCCATATTGAATATTTTGATGCAAATGTTCATTTCATGTCATTTTCAGGTAAAACAGAAATAGCCACAGCCAATCGACAAAGCTTTGCTGGCCACACACGCACAGTCTTATGAAAAATCAAGCGCCACAAAAACACTTATTTTTAAAAACATTTGACAACATTATTCTGAAGTTTCTAATTGTTCCCGTAGATATGTTAAATTATTTTTGTAGTCCTTGGCACGGGAAAGCAGAGGAAAAATTAATATTTTAGAATTTCAGATTCGTATTAGTCGATTTCAGTTTTTCTATGTTAATTTAAAACGAGGATTAAAGCTGCAAGTTAGTGCAGTTGATTTCAAAATCGTAACGATTGACTCGAAATTCCAGATATCAATGGGAATTATTGGGCTATTGAATTTGTAAATTTTAATCCGGAAAATTAAGTGAGTATAATTAACCGTAGTTAATTAAATGTGTTGCAGCCAACTTGGTCTGATTTGATGGGCCTAGTAGCATTAGAAGCGCGCTTAATTAACATAGATTTTGAGATATGTCCGAGATTTTTAGAACGCCATGGAGCATGGTAATTAAATAGAGAAGTTTTAATTTTTGAACGCTTCTTTACCGCCGGCCGTGGGAAATCCGAATACAATTTCAACATCTTTTCGAAAGTTTATATAAAGTAACAGCACATTTTTCGCTGTGCTCGCGTACATTTTGAGACCGATTTAGTTCTTTTAAATTTGACAATATCGTATCGTTAATTTTAACGGTAAGCGTTCGCTGCATTTCTTCCGTTAATTTTAAGGAGGGAGGGGGGCATCATTTTGCTTTCCCCTAGTCTCCGTTAATTAATTTATGCTTGATTGTTTCTGTTCCCGCTAGGAAAATTTCTTGATACAAGGAAGGAGGAGCTGAAGTGAGTAAAGGGAATATTTTATAAAGACGAAGCAGACGGGAAACGTTGCTTTTTGGTGGCCGCATTGTTTGTGTATGACAGTCTGCTGTAATCGAAGTTTTTTGGAAAAGACAGTCCGTCTTGTTGTCGGTATATGGTTGTTTAGGGAATGTTTAAAGAGATCTTGATTCGTTGTTTTAAAAGTGAATGTTATAAATTAGAATTCAAGTGAGCACGTATACGAAGAAGCAGTCTAAGTGTGTGTCTTTCGAACAGTTGTCGCTTTTCTATAAGGTCTTCAACTACCCAGCAACCACCAAAAATGGCAACCCATACCGTATTTAAATCATCCATCTTTCGCAAGTTACGTTTCTTAAGTACCGTAATTTTTGCTTTTACTTTAAGTTTACCGCACCGTATTCTATAGTTTTTGGTTTATCTTGCACAGGAATCTCTACCGCGCCGTTTAATTGCAAGGCAAGATTTTTGTCCTTTCTGTTCCATTAATTGTAGGAGGAGGAATAACGGTCCGTCGCTTGGCCGTTTTTGACCTATGTATTGTAATGTTTATGGGCAAAAATGACTTTTGCAACCCAAATCGTAACTGTCATTCTTCTATATGGGGATATTAATGAATTGGGACTGTTTAGTAAAAGTTGCGCTTTAGTGGACTGTGCTGATATTTTGATTATAAATAAATTGAAAAAATCGTTAAAACTTTTTTTTTAATGGAAACCCGTTATTTTTATAACTGTGTGTCAAGTACAAAAAATAAGAGTAACTCTGAGTCACGGCAAACAAACAAAAATTCTTAAAACGATACTTAACAGCCCTTAATAGCAAAAAAATGGGCTGCTAATGTGATTTTTGATTTACAAATTAAAATATGTCACAAACCAGAAATGCCACTGACTCACTAATATCTTAGACCTTATTAGCACTGGTATACTGATCTAGATAACCCATATTCATCGTGAGAAGACGAAATTTCTATGCATGGGTATTGAAACGAGAAAGACCTGTCCTAGAAGATCCTATAGTATACAGTTCAACTTTGTTTACTGATGAAAATGATACGTGAGCCGGCACAATTTTCACAAACTCCCCATTTCTTCGTCCAATTAGATCGTCACCATCGTTGGTCCTTAGATGTATCGACTGGAATTATTGGAAGCTATCTTGTAGAGCCTTATTAAGGATCTTCATATCATATATAGTTTTGTTGTCCGTCCGTGTGCGCCAGAACTCTTTTTAAAAGTGGCCGATCGTGTTAAAATTTTGTGTACATGTACTTTGCGCATCGTTTTCAGGAAGCTGGTTCAACAGGCACAAACGTTATAGGACTTCGAGTGAATCGGGAACAAGAAAAACTGTGGGTTCAATATAATATTTCATTTTCTAGGTCATGTAGTTCGGACTTTCGCTAGTACACCTATGACTCTTACATGTGTAACAATTCAATATAACTCTTCTCTGTGTTCTAGGTCGAAAGTTTTAGAGCAAAATGTACCCAAAATTATTCTTTACATATTAATTATGTAAAAGCTTCAAAACGCATTATCTTGACAACGAAAGAATACATCACATGCATATTATATAACAGAGTGTGTTTGATTCAAGATGTTAAATTCTTTTTCTGAGGCCACTTGGATTTTAATCAAACCATGCCAAAATTGTTATTCATGCACCAAGATCGCTGGGAAATAGAGCAATAGGATTATTTGTATTTGATGCATTTTGTCGACTGTATACATATGTATTTTGCAAGGTTTAAAAAATGGTCGTTTAAAAAGCGATGGGCTGTAGAACATTGTCTTAAACCTCAATTTTTTTAAAGTTTTTCGTATATCGCATGGACATTAACGTATTTAACTTGTAAAATCACGCATCCGGCAACAATTCTCCAGTTCTGTTCTGTTCTTTAAATATCTAGTATGTCAGCATACCACAGTTTCTCTTTCATTTGGCTTAGCTTAAATTGTATTAATTATTTGGAATTGTTGTGTAAGTCAGGAAACGCGTTCGCGATATTTGGATTTTCAATAAATTAGCCTTAAAGAGCCTTAATGCCTGAGATTATGAGATAATATAATCGCAACTGCACGAAATACTGCTATACTTATGAAATTAACTAATTGTGGATTTATGTATTCTAGGTCGTAAAAAGAGATTTTTGAATTCGTGTCGTATTTATAGCTGCTACGTATACAAAGTGCATCTTTATCCTTGAGCCGCTGCATATGATGAAGCTCACTGATACTGAAAGACGTGCCTGCGGCACATCTTGCAAGATTCAATATCCTCTTTAGTAGTTGTGGGATTTACAGATATGAACTTCGAAAGTAGAACATGGTCACATATTCGCTCCGTTAACACGATTTTATTAGATCGTGTTTTATAACTGATTTCGCAATAGTCTCTTTGAATTCTATACGTTAGTGGCGGATTGCACTACAAATTAAAGCATTCGAGCGAATTGCCTAATGAGAAGAAATAAGAATAGTTAATAATGATCAATTATGTTGTTAAGATGTTTACATTCAATCATTTATCCTGTTCAGAATTCCCGTAGTGAAGGAGTATTATACATATAAGGACCAAGTTGTGATCGCTCATCGTTGTTTGGAGTAAAAACACTGTTATTCTATTTAATTAAAGAAGTAGAAGGGCATCGAAGAGAACATTGCAAAATGATCATCATGAACGTCAAAATTTAAAAGATTGTGTGTACCTATTGTGTTGTTCGTGATGGTGTTCACAACTAAACTAATCCAAGCGTAAATAGATATAAAGTGAGAT